GTGTGTGTGTGTGTGTGTGTGTGTGTGTGTGTGTGTGTGTGTGTGTGGTGTGCCTCTCACAGAGATAGAGAGACCACCTGTCTCATCCTTGGTCTAATACAGCATCATGTGTAACAGGCTTTTTTTCTCACCTTGGATTAATTTCTCAAATTCTTCACGTGTTTCAAAAAGTTCTTCTTCAAACTAAAGAATGAAAGACAGAATATAATAATGGGCTGCAAGCATCATTTTGATCTTTATTATTACTTTTGATATCACAGAAAAATAAGTGAATAGAAGTAAATGGTCTAGCCACCAATTAAACCAATGTTTCAAGTAGTTATTGAACCCATGCTGACCTCTTCTGTGTTCTGTGAACCTAAGGAAATGTTTATATAAAACCAAAGCAAAGGATTTACTGAATTCAATTGATCTTGAGTAACACTGATACCCCCTGTTGTATGGATGGAACCTGCCAGATGCACTTTTCAGATCATAATCTAAATGCAGACTACTCCTTTCATTAGCTCGGACAAGTTACTCTCTTCTGTTTCCTAACGTGTGAAAATGAAGCTAATACCTACTCCTGACAGTCATGACGGTTAAATGAGATCCTACCAAAGAAGACGAACTCTTATGTTTGGCTCAATGTTGATCATTGTTACTCTTTTCCTCAGGACTTTCCCTTGGATGGTGTTTGTTGTCCCTCATTTCCAGGGTTCAAGAACAAGCAAATGTTTGATCATTCTATTATTTAGACACAGAGAATTTAAACTGCAGCAAATCTCAGAAACTATGTGGTAGCAATCTAACTGAAAAAAATACATCTATAAATTGAATGCGTGCATTTTGTACAGTATAATTTTAATGTAAAATTTAAACACAATGGGTTTTCTGTATTATTTCTATGATGATTAGAGATGGAAAACACAATGCATAAATGGAAAACAGTATTTTCCCCAAAGATTTTATTCTACCCCCTTTGTAACAAAAAAAATTTTTAAATGTTACATTTACAATTTGGGATGATAAAAAATATTAAGAAAAGGTACTGACAATGTGGTTCCCAGTGTTATTCCTGAATACGTAGAGTTAACATTAAACTGAGGTATTTGATCACCCTCGTTCCTAGACCTTGAAAACGAGCATTAGCTACAACTCTGGGTGCTCTTCTTTTCCAAGCCTTCATTTGATGCATATGAAGCCCAGAGAGGTTAATTGATTTGCCCAAAGTCCCTCAGCTAAAAGGTGGAAGAACCAGGGCTAGAGTCCCTTCTCTCCAAACCCACTACATTTTAGACACTATCACCTTGCTAAATGTGTAATTTGTATTCGAATAATTTTTTAATGTTTATTTTTGAGAGACAGACAGACAGACAGACAGAGCATGAGAGGGGGAGGGCCAGGAGAGAGGGAGACACAGAATCTGAAGAAAGCTCCAGGCCTCTGAGCTTGTCAGCACAGAGTCCGATGGGTGGGGCTTGAACCCACATACCGTGAGATCATGACCTGAGCTGAAGTCAGATGCTTAAGCGACTGAGCCACCCAGGTGCTGCATGTATTTGAGTAATTTTTATAGGAAGAAGTCATATTCCAAAGTTGACACCAAATATGAGAATACAGATGGGGAAACCAGAGTATAAAAACAAAGCTTTCCCCAAAGCCCTTTTTTCCTAAATTTAAAGATTACTTTTGGGGGACCTGTTGGCTCAGTGTTGGTTAAGCTTCCAACTTCAGCTCAGGTCATGGTCTCTCGGTTTGTGGGTTCAAGCCCCTCCCATTGGGCTCTGTGCTGACAGCTCAGAGCCTGGAGCCTTCTTTGGATTCTGTGTCTCCCTCTCTCTCTGCCCCTCCCCTGCTCACGCTCAGTCTCTCTCTCTCTTTCAAAAAATAGTGAATAAACATTAAAAAACATTTTAAAGATTACTTTTGACTTTCATGTAGTGTGATGGGGGGAAAAGTACATTTGTTTATGATTTTAATTTCTCCTTAAATTTCTCATGTCAGGAACTCCAGGGTAACTTTACTATTTGCTTTGGCCAGGCTTCAAGATCTCAGAGCGTGAAGCCCAACCTCCAATTCCAACCAGGGCGTTACCAGGTTAATCCATGAGAGCAACTTGGGGAAAGGGCAGCACCTGGGAGCCCATCGTCTGGGTATGGCCATTAAGAGAATGGAATACAGTGAAATTCCTCAGACTGTATACTATCCGAGGAATTTTCTAGTAGGTTTAGATTGAGTTTCACCAGACCACAAAGCAAGGGTTTACCACCTGAACGTTTTTGTTTTTTATGGGGTGTCTTCTTCAATTATATCTTTTGCTTGAACGCTTACTATGTGAGGGGCCCTGTCAAGTTCTGCTCTAAGGATAAACGAAGCACAGCCATTTTAGCAAAGTCATTTGTGCTAGAGCATGATTATTTAACTTTTGAAAATTTGCTATGACTTACATCAAAAAGAAAAGTCAGGCACAGAAGGTAAATATTGACTATAGAATTTTCTTCTAACTCTGACAAACTACAATACCAACCCTGAATATAAGAACTGTGAAGAGTCAGGAGATCCCAGAAAGAGCTTCATGTGGCTCAGAAAGGAGAATTGGCCTTTTATTGTTTTGAAAAAATTAGGTCATTGGAAGAAGAAATGACAAGTTCAAACTGTTTTATTATATACTAAAAAATAGTGCCCTCCCCCATGAAGAAATTGCAGTGTTTTTGACAGGTGGGCTTTGGGCTCACATTGTCTCCCACGTGATTTATCATATTTTATTCAGAGCTAATGCTAAAACAACAATACATAAAAACTGAGATCTAAAAAATAATTAGGGCTGCGTGGGTGGCTCAGTCCATTAAGCATCCAACTTCAGCTCAGGTCATGATCTCATGGTTCATGAGTCCAAGCCCCGTGTCAGGCTCTGTGCTGGCAGCTCAGAGCCTGGAGCCTGCTTCAGATTCTGTGTCTCCCTCTCTCTGCCCCTCCCTTGCTCATGCTCTGTCTCTGTCTCAAAAATAAATAAAAACATTAAAATTTTTTTATTTTTTAATAAATAAAAAGTAATTATAAAAGAATGACCCTAATTCCTTACCCCCTTCCTTTATTCATCTATCATTTATCTATCTCCATATGAATAGATCTCAAAAACATAATAGTGAATGTAAGGAGGAAAATATAGAATGATGCTCAAAAGGCACCATTTATGTAAATTATTTCAAAAAGCACACGAGTGGTTGGTGAGCACACACATGAATGTAAAAATATAAAGGCTGGACTGACTGGATAGAGGTTACTTCAGTAGACATGGGAGTGACAGTCCAACTGAATTTTAGCTTCATCTGTTAATGCTTTATTTCTAAAAGATTATATTAATATATTACCCTTGTGGTTTTATTTTTATGGCTGGAGGCAAATATGACAAAACAATAATAACTGCTCATTCCACATAGTGGCATCATGTTCATTATAAGCTTTTTTGTACTTCACACATTTTCAAAATTTTAATTTAAAATTTAAAAAATTCATAACAAAGGAATTTTTGACAAAAGTGCTGGTGAAGTTTTCACAGAGATTTTTTGCTTTATTAGAGCAGAAATTCTTTTTTTTAAGTTTATTTATTTTGAGAGAGAGAGAGAGCACAAGTGTGGCAGGGGCAGAGAGAGGGAGAGAGAAAATCCCAAGCAGCCTCCACATTGTCAGTGTAGAGCCCAACGTGGGGTTCCATCCCATGAACTGTAACATCATGACCTAAACCAAAATTAAGAGTCAGATGCTTAACTGATTGAGCCACCCAGGTGCCCCTATTACAACAGAAATTCTCTACCTGGGGACCGAGATTCCAGTTATGTATTTCGTGGCTTCTTGGAGCCCCTACAGTACATCAGACTTTTTCCTGGCAAATAGTTTCTTAGGTTTCTTCAGATTTTAGTATAAAACATCTGTTATTGTCACCTAAAATATTTTCAAAACCTCTGTACCACCAGGTAACACAAAATGGGTCTATTTCACAAAATATTTAAATAATAAACCATGTTCTAAGCTGCATTCATATGAGAAATCTACATTCCTAGTGAACAAATTAACTTACATATTCTGTCAGGGCTAAAACAGAATGTAGACCATCCTAACAAATGTCAAGTGAATGGGGTTACTTGCTATTTTCACGTTAAACCATGTGGAGCTGACTGTAAGTGTGAAGAAAACTGCCTGTTCTTTCATCTTTGGATCTAAGAGACCATTTAGGAGCAATTAGAAAAAAAAAAAAAAATGTGTGGTGGCATCTGGGTGGTTCAGTCAGTTGAACGTCCAACACGGGCTCGGGTCATGATCTTGCGTTCGTGAGTTCAAGCCCAAAATCGGACTCACTGCTGTCAGCCTGTCAGCACAGAGCCCACTTTGGATCCTGTCACTCTCTCTCTGCCCTGGCCCTCTTGCGCTCTCCCAAAAATAAATAAATCTTTTAAAAAAAGTGTGGGGGCGCCTAGGTGGCTCACTCAGTTAAACATCTGACTCAGGTCATGATTTCATGGCTCTTGGGTTTGAGCCCCGCATCAGGCTTTATGCTGACAGCTCAGAGCCTGGAGCCTGCTTCCATTTCTTTGTCTCCCTTTCTCTCTGCCCCTCCCCCACTTATGCTTGCTCTCTCTCTCTCTCTCAAAAATAAACATTAAAAAAATTTTTTTAATTGTGTAGGTTACAGAAGAGGCTAATGCTTTCTACTCACAGTAAATATTTACAGATACAAATATTTATCTTTGAAAGGTCTTTATAAACTTCAGTAACTTAGCTTTTAAATATGTTGAGAATAGAATTTTTTTAATTCATTAAAGTATAGGATAGTTTTTTTTTTTTCAACGTTTATTTATTTTGGGGACAGAGAGAGACAGAGCATGAACGGGGGAGGGGCAGAGAGAGAGGGAGACACAGAATCAGAAACAGGCTCCAGGCTCCGAGCCATCAGCCCAGAGCCTGACGCGGGGCTCGAACTCCCGGACCGCGAGATCGTGACCTGGCTGAAGTCGGATGCCTAACCGACTGCCCCACCCAGGCGCCCCTAAAGTATAAGATAGTTATAGTTTTGGTAATGAATGATATGTTCTAACATCAGTATCTATGAGAGTGTTCTATATATTTAAAGAAAACTACCTGTTTCTTAATATTCTTTTACATATATATTTATTTTGAGAGTGAGTGAGCGAGCACCTGTGGGGGAGGGGCAGAGAGAAAGGGGGAGAAAGAATCCCAAGCAGGGTCTGCACTGTCAGTGCAAGCCAAGGCAGGACTTGATCTCACTACCACGAGATCATGACCTGAGCCCAGATCATCACCTAAGCTGAAATCAACAGTCAGATGCTTAACCGACCAAGCCACCCAGGCTTGAGACTAATGTAGTTAAACATATCCAATACTTGGCTGATAAGAATGAAATGAAAAGAAGCTGTTTGACAGACTGGGTCTCTTCCTTTCTTCCTCGTCTTCTTCCTCCCTCCCTTCCTTTGCTCATTAGTCATTATTTGCTTCACCTTGGGTGGGCTCAATGCCAACAACCATTTTCCACGCTATTTGAGCACTTTTATTCTTAATAAAAGAGTGCACTGGTTCACTCACAGCCCAGTGTCTAAAGGAGCAGGTGGCAAAATTGGCTTTTTGTTCAAGATCCATATAATCATATTTTCTACACCAGCTCCCTAAGTAAGTATTCAACGACCCCAAGACGAAAATAATATGAATAAATCAGCATCTCACCTCTACCCCTGCTGCAGCCAAGAGCCACCGGATGGACTTCATTCTGCCTCGGCCATTGAAGTAGTGAAGCTTGGGCTTCCCCGCCATGCTTAAGGACTCCTGCAAATCAACAGAGAGAGACTGATGAAGACTGTTCTGCACACAGAGCAGGAGAGGAATCCACATGAAGAGAGCAGTGCAAAGTTAACCAGAAAGCTCTGGGCCTGTGCCCAAAATCAGAGCTGCTCCTCAGCTCCAAGGCTTCCTGTGTTCTGTGCTCTTCCTCACAAATGGAGTTTATCGCCACAAATTGATGTTCTCAAAACTTAATTGAATCACTGATACATTTTTTAAAATAGAAAGAGGACAAGTGAGGAAGCCAGACAGATGGAAGGAATTTGAAAATAAGACTCTGACCAGCTCTTCCTCCGGTAGCAGGTGGCGAGGTGTTAGCATTGCAATGTTTTTTTTCTTTTTTCTATCCAGGTCCTCCTCCCTCCTCCTACCGGCACAGCCCAGACTGGCTAAATGGGGCGAGATTAGGGGAGGCTGATGCTTTTCACTTTCCAAATTAATTTCAGTACTTTAATTCTGGCGACCTCTGAAGCCTGGAGACAGCAATCAAGGGGATTTTCAATGACTCATTAGGATTTAAAGCAAAAGTGCAAAGTTAAGCAAAGTGGGTCTTTTCACACTTTCTTTTTCCTCTGAAAATGGAAATGCCTTTTTTAGAAACATAACCTTTGCTCACCTTGAAGAAATTAAAGTATTATAGAAATCAAAAGCCCATCCCGCGTGACCCCAAGATAGCATCTGAGGTTTATGGGACATGGAGGGGTAGACTTGGTGGGGGGACAGCCTTTGGACATTTAAAGGTGGCTTGAGGTACTTGGAAGGGGGTTCCTGGAAGCATCGGGACCTGTGTGGAGGGGTGGGAGTGGCTTTAGGAGTAGAAATTGTTCATGTCTACATGCTTTCAATGGGAACTGATATATTTTGGAGCATATCACCTGGCTCAATTTTAAAAACAACACTTCCATGGGGCACCTGGGTGGCTGAGTCAGTTAAGCGTCTGACTTCACCTCGGGTCATGATCTCACAGTTCATGGGTTTGAGCCCCACATCAGGCTCTGTGTTTTTACAGCTCAGAGCCTGGAGCCTGCTTTGGATTCTGTGTCTCTCTCTGTGTGTTCCTCTTCCACTTGTGCTGTCTCTCTCTCTAAATAAATAAATATTAAAAAGAAACAGCACTTTTACCCATTAAAAGCTCAGCAAAATGAATGAAGAAAAAATGATAGTTGAGGATATTATTTTGGAAACCATTTTGAAAATCATGGCTTTTCAGCTTTATGTGATGCCTACTAGAATCACCCTATTAGGGGCTTAAAACACACACAGGTGCACAAGTGTGCATGCATGTTCTCTCTTTCTCTCTCTCTCTCTCTCTGCCTGGGCCCCACATTGATTTGGGAAAGGACCCTGCCATCTGTGTCTTTTAGAATCTTTCCAGGTGAGTTTAATGTGCAGTCAGCATTAAGAACCACTGATCTGGACAATGGCTGCTAAAACTACTGATAGAGGTCTCTAGCATGGAAAGGTTAGGCTGAGCACTCGAAACATCTATCATCACTAAAAGCAGGACAACCAGACGTGACAGGCCTCCTAATACGATACAGTAGAAAGTGTGCAGCACTGCCGGTGAAGAATTCTTGCCAAAACAACTGACCTGGAATTCAGTCAAGCCTCGAGATACCAATTTATGGGAAATACAGGAAACAGATGAGCACTTCAGGGATGCAATTAGCAAAAACAGCAAAATCTACAATGTGGAACTCTACAGGCTTGCTCTTCAGAGAGTGGTCCCGAGGCTAGCAACATATGGAGCACCTGGGAAGCTGCTAGAAATGCAGGTAGCTTGGGCTCCAGCCTAGACCCTCTGGTAGCTACACTTTAAGATCTCGAGGGCTTTACATGCACATTCAAGTTTGAGAAGCACTGTTCTCCAGGTCAAGTGACTAACACATTCCCAAAGAACTCTCTAGTCTTATATTCCTGTGATAAAAAGATTTTGTTTTTTTTTTAATGTTTATTTATTTTTGAGACAGAGAGACAGAGCATGAACAGGGGAGGGGCAGAGAGAGAGGGAGACACAGAATCTGAAACAGGCTCCAGGCTCTGAGCTGTCAGCACAGAGCCCGACGCGGGGCTTGAACTCATGGACTGTGAGATCGTGACCTGAGCCAAGTCGGACGCTTAACCGACCGAGCCACCCAGGCGCCCCTAAAAGTTTTTATTTTTATTTATTTTTTTATATATGAAATTTATTGTCAAATTGGTTTCCATACAACACCCAGTGCTCATCCCAAAAGGTGCCCTCCTCAATACCCATCACCCACCCTCTCCTCCCTCCCACCCCCCATCAACCCTCAGTTTGCTCTCAGTTCTCAACAGTCTCTTATGCTTTGGCTCTCTCCCGCTCTAACCTCTTTTTTTTTTTTTTTCCTTCCCCTCCCCCATGGGTTCCTGTTAAGTTTCTCAGGATCCACAGAAGAGTGAAACCATATGGTATCTGTCTTTCTCTGTATGGCTTATTTCACTTAGCATCACACTCTCCAGTTCCATCCACGTTGCTACAAAAGGCCATATTTCATTTTTTCTCATTGCCACGTAGTATTCCATAGTGTATATAAACCACAATTTCTTTATCCATTCATCAGTTGATGGACATTTAGGCTCTTTCCATAATTTGGCTATTGTTGAGAGTGCTGCTATGAACATTGGGGTACAAGTGCCCCTATGCATCAGTACTCCTGTGTCCCTTGGATAAATTCCTAGCAGTGCTATTGCTGGGTCATAGGGTAGGTCTATTTTTAATTTTCTGAGGAACCTCCACACTGCTTTCCAGAGCGGCTGCACCAATTTGCATTCCCACCAACAGTGCAAGAGGGTTCCCGTTTCTCCACATCCTCTCCAGCATCTAGAGTCTCCTGATTTGTTCATTTTGGCCACTCTGACTGGCGTGAGGTGATACCTGAGTGTGGTTTTGATTTGTATTTCCCTGATAAGGAGCGACGCTGAACATCTTTTCATGTGCCTGTTGGCCATCCGGATGTCTTCTTTAGAGAAGTGTCTATTCATGTTTTCTGCCCATTTCTTCACTGGGTTATTTGCTTTTCAGGTGTGGAGTTTGGTGAGCTCTTTATAGATTTTGGAGACTAGCCCTTTGTCCGATATGTCATTTGCAAATATCTTTTCCCATTCCGTTGGTTGCCTTTTCGTTTTGTTGGTTGTTTCCTTTGCTGTGCAGAAGCTTTTTATCTTCATAAGGTCCCAGTGATTCACTTTTGCTTTTAATTCCCTTGCCTTTGGGGATGTGTCGAGTAAGAGATTGCTACGGCTGAGGTCAGAGAGGTCTTTTCCTGCTTTCTCCTCTAGGGTTTTGATGGTTTCCTGTCTCACATTCAGGTCCTTTATCCATTTTGAGTTTATTTTTGTGAATGGTGTGAGAAAGTGGTCTAGTTTCAACCTTCTGCATGTTGCTGTCCAGTTCTCCCAGCACCATTTGTTAAAGAGACTGTCTTTTTTACATTGGATGTTCTTTCCTGCTTTGTCAAAGATGAGTTGACCATACGTTTGTGGGTCTAGTTCTGGGGCTTCTATTCTATTCCATTGGTCTATGTGTCTGTTTTTGTGCCAATACCATGCTGTCTTGATGAGGACAGCTTTGTAGTAGAGGCTAGAGTCTGGGATTGTGATGCCTCCTGCTTTGTCTTCTTCTTCAAAATTACTTTGGCTATTCGGGGCCTGGTGGTTCCATATCAATTTTAGGATTGCTTGTTCTAGTTTCGAGAAGAATGCTGGTGCAATTTTGATTGGGATTGCATTGAATGTGTAGATAGCTTTGGGTAGTATTGACATTTTGACAATATTTATTCTTCCAATCCATGAGCAGGGAATGTCTTTCCATTTCTTTAAATCTTCCTCAATTACCTTCATAAGCTTTCTATAGTTTTCAGCATACAGATCCTTTACATCTTTGGTTAGATTTATTCCTAGGTATTTTATGCTTCTTGGTGCAATTGTGAATGGGATCAGTTTCTTTATTTGTCTTTCTGTTGCTTCATTGTTAGTGTATAAGAATGCAACTGATTTCTGTACATTGATTTTGTATCCTGCAACTTTGCTGAATTCAGGTATCAGTACTAGCAGACTTTTGGTGGAGTCTATCGGATTTTCCATGTATAATATCATGTCATCTGCAAAAAGCGAAAGCTTGACTTCATCTTTGCCAATTTGGATGCCTTTGATTTCCTTTTGTTGTCTGATTGCTGATGCTAGAACTTCCAGCACTATGTTAAACAACAGCGGTGAGAGTGGGCATCCCTGTCGTGTTCCTGATCTCAGGGAAAAAGCTCTCAGTTTCTCCCCGTTGAGGATGATGTTAGCTGTGGGCTTTTCATAAATGGCTTTTATGATCTTTAAGTATGTTCCTTCTATCCCGACTTTCTCAAGGGTCTTTATTAAGAAAGGGTGCTGGATTTTGTCAAAGGCCTTTTCTGCATCAATTGACAGGATCATATGGTTTTTCTCTTTTTTTTGGTTAATGTGATGTATCACATTGATTGATTTGCGAATGTTGAACCAGCCCTGCATCCCAGGAATGAATCCCACTTGATCATGGTGAATAATTCTTTTTATATGCCGTTGAATTCGATTTTCTAGTATCTTATTGAGAATTTTTGCATCCATATTCATCAGGGATATTGGCCTGTAGTTCTCTTTTTTTACTGGGTCTCTGTCTGGTTTAGGAATCAAAGTAATACTGGCTTCATAGAATGAGTCTGGAAGTTTTCCTTCCCTTTCTATTTCTTGGAATAGCTTGAGAAGGATAGGTATTATCTCTGCTTTAAACGTCTGGTAGAACTCCCCTGGGAAGCCATCTGGTCCTGGACTCTTATTTGTTGGGAGATTTTGATAACCGATTCAATTTCTTCGCTGGTTATGGGTCTGTTCAAGCTTTCTATTTCCTCCTGATTGAGTTTTGGAAGAGTGTGGGTGTTTAGGAATTTGTCCATTTCTTCCAGGTTGTCCAATTTGTTGGCATATAATTTTTCATAGTATTCCCTGATAATTGTTTGTATCTCTGAGGGATTGGTTGTAATCATTCCATTTTCATTCATGATTTTATCTATTTGGGTCATCTCCCTTTTCTTTTTGAGAAGCCTGGCTAGAGGTTTGTCAATTTTGTTTATTTTTTCAAAAAACCAACTCTTGGTTTCGTTGATCTGCTCTACAGTTTTTTTAGATTCTATATTGTTTATTTCTGCTCTGATCTTTATGATTTCTCTTCTTCTGCTGGGTTTAGGCTGCCTTTGCTGTTCTGCTTCTATTTCCTTTAGGTGTGCTGTTAGATTTTGTATTTGGGATTTTTCTTGTTTCTTGAGATAGGCCTGGATTGCAATGTATTTTCCTCTCAGGACTGCCTTCGCTGCGTCCCAAAGCGTTTGGATTGTTGTATTTTCATTTTCGTTTGTTTCCATGTATTTTTTAATTTCTTCTCTAATTGCCTGGTTGACCCACTCATTCGTTAGTAGGGTGTTCTTTAACCTCCATGCTTTGG